GCTGAAGGCCGTAACCAGCCAAGTTGCCTCCGTGTTTCTTTCCGTACTCAAAAGTCTTAAACCAGGTCTCCAAACTTGAGACTTACGGACCGCAAAGTTGAAGTCCACAAGTCTTCCAAGTTGCCAAGTTTGGGGACAACCCCTGCCTTTAACCTCCCAACTCCCGTTGCAGGAAACCTTTGATGCCGGTCTCCACGCCTTCGCCCAAGAAGGCATCGCCAACATCACCACCCTGAAAGATCAGCTGCTGGCCGCCAAGCACGTCCAGTCGAAAGCCATCGAGGCTCGCCACGCCTCGCTCATGAAGCGCTGGAACCAGCTGCTGGCCAACTCGGCTGCCCGGAAGAAAAAGCTCTTGGAGGCCCAAGAACACTTCAGAAAGGTGAGGGAAATGCGCGGGGGGAGAGCCGCGAATCGGCCATTCAGCTTCGCCAGAGAGTCTTTAAGAAATCTCCTTTGGCCAGGGGGATTGAATTTAAGGAAGCTTTGAGATTAATCCATCAGAATAGCACTGAAAGCAACATAATAGACATAAACCTGAAGTGTTTTTTGTTAGGGACCATACCTGAAAGTTACAGTGAAGAAAAGACCGGCAGTTCCTCCAATTAAATCATGAGCCTCGAGCCACAGTCCCAACACTAAAAAGGATTTATTAGAAGTTACCATGCCGGCATTATCCTGGGTGTAGCCGACTCTGAGATACGTAGTTCACTGTCACCCTTGATCCTGCTTTTCCCCCCCACCCCTGTGGGTGTATCATCCAACGAAAAAAACCTCCATAGCCAAGAGTCATCAATCATGCTCTCCAATTAGATTTTTGCGCCAGCAAAAGCTTCAGTCATCTAATCAATCTCTGAAAAAAATATGAATGGAATGTACTTTCGATTCCACACTGCCAGCTGCTCTTTGAAACTCCCCCCCCCCCCCCCGCTTTTTTCTGTTGTCAACTATAAAACGTGTATACAAAATGTTTTATGAGTTGACAGACACATTTAATTATTCTTGTACTAACTTGCAGTTAGAATAGCATTTGCTCAAAACTGGGAAAGTGAAAAATTCCAACAGAAGAGAATGTGATCAGGAAAATATTAGAACATGCAGAAATTAATAGACTTAGCACTGGCAATTAGAAGAAGAAAAAAGAACAAACTGAATATTATGTGACATTGGAAGTATTTTATCAATGGTTGGAAAAGAAAAATGGAAATTAGAGATTAAGTATAGGAAATTAGAAGATATATATATTAATATACAGTGTTTAGATAGATAGATAGATAGATAGATAGATAGATAGATAGATAGATAGATAGATAGATAGATAGATAGATAGATAGATAGATAGATAGATA